AGAAATGAATGCCGAAATAGAGTATAACAGGGTACCCAAATTTTTAAAAAATCGAAGGTGGTGTTTTTTTTTTATTATTCGCATTGGAATTTTTCTTTGTTTGATTTTTTCCCCATGTTTGCCTAAATATATTGTAACTATTGTGTCACTCAGATACCTTATTTATTTTTTCAATAATAGCCATATATTAGTAAAATAATGTCTGCAAGTTATGTAATAATGATTAAATTATTTCATGAGATACAGATTTCCAAAGTTTGCCATTTGTCGTTCGAGCAGGCATGTTTGGCAATTTTTAGAAAACTAAATAAATTTTTAATAAATATTATTACTTTATATTACAAGCAAGTTGTACCCATAGTTTGTTTGTAAAAAGTTTTAAAATTCTCCTAATTTTATTGTTTTAATTATTCACTTTCAAACTTGCCCCCTCCATCAGTGCGCGTTATTGCAACTGTCCACCTCTCCCTGCCTTACGATTTTTCTTGTCTCCAAATTTTTTTTCTGGTCAAAACTAAGTGTGGATTCGTTTATACCAGACACTAGACAATGTCATATAAAAACATCAGTTGATTTAAAAATGTCGACCAGCCACCCTTTGGTCGATCTTATCTGAAATCACCCTACTGCGATACAAAGTTGTACCTGTCACGGATATTTTAGGCAACCTACTTCACTTCGCGAAAACATTTCGATTCAGGTTCAATGTATGTGACTCTGGTAAACGAAGGGAGGTTGAGTCGTATAAACACGACGTTTGGTATGTTAATGAAGATTTTCCTTTCTTGTTGTGTAGGTATAAATAACAGAATTTTATAATTTTTGTACCTGAAAATAAAACTGGATTGAACAAACGATAAAAAAAAAAGAAAACTATATACTGTAAACGACCTATTTTTCGTGGGCTCAATATTTCGCGATTTAGGTCAAAGCTGAAGTTTTGGAATAATTCGTGGGTTGTAATTTTCTCGACGCGGTGGAATCTCACTATAAATTTCAATCTGTTTACATTTTACCGAAATTGTTCGCGGGACCCATTTTTCGCGAATTGTAGGCGATTCGCGAAATTCTCAAAAATAGGTCCTTGCAAAAATCAGATTGTTTACAGCAGTTAGTTTCATGGCCTAAATAGTGCCTATTGACAGAACAACGCAGAAAATATATTCTCAATTTAGCGGTTCAAACCGGTTCGAACCGGTTCGAACCGGTTTGAACCGTTATTTTTGCGCCCCGGAACTGAACCGGAACTGAACCGAAAGCCGTGAACCCGAACCCGAACCGAACCGATAAAAATATCGGTTCGACACTCTGATTTCAACACCTGGCGTGCCCATCGTTGTTCCGGCAAAGTGCATAGGCGCCGCTCGAGAAACAGTTTGCTGCTGGTCTCACGGGCTTCGAAGCAGGTCCTGCTTCGAAGCCCATGTCGCCCAGGTCGCACTTGCTAGTAGTGCTTCGGTGTGTTCCCAGCGATAGGCGACCCAGCTCTCGTTGCCTCACTTCCAGGTGTCCTCGTGTACGTGCCGACAGGCACAGCACGGCATTTGCGAAGGTCAGGCCCCGCACCGTTACCATTTTCCAGAGTGCCCGCATTGTCTCGTACCGGTTGAAACTCCACATTCCCCTGCATCCCAGTAGCCCTTGTGTTTGTTCGCCGTGGTCCGCAGCTCGGTTTCATGTTGTTCGAGGTACCTTCGTCCCGACTGCAGCGTCACTCCCAGCTATGTATATTCGGTCTTCCACCCGACATCTTCGCCCTGGATGTTCACCATCTGCGACAGCTGTGTCGGGGCATCCTCTGTTTCCTGTGTGTCCCGTTGCTCCACCCCTGCTTGAGGACTCCAGACTTTCTGGGGTTGAACCTTATCCCCAGAATGGTTCCCTCTGCTCCGCAGGTGTCCAGCAATTTCTTAAGCTCCTCCAGGGACCCTGCCACCACGTCATTCATATACAGGGTGTCACAAAAGAAAATTTGCACGGTCTTTTTTACCGCAAAAATAAACTAGGCCTCGCCGAACGCTCCTTCTCCGCCCAAAGGTAGGAGCTGGAGGTCACAACCAGATGCCAAAGTTTCAGCCCGATCCGATAACTTAATCAAAAGTTATAAGTGGTTTTCTGAAAATTTCAATGGGAAAATGGCGGCCGACGCAGTTTTCAAACACATGGGGCTCTATGGCACCAGAAACCGAAAACAGGCAAAAATGGGCTCCATTTTCCCATTGACATTTTCAGAAAATCACTTATAACTTTTGATAAAGTTATCGGATCGGGCTGAAACTTTGGCATCTGGTTGTGACCTCTAGCGCTACCTTTGGGCGGAGAATGAGCGTTCGGCGATGCCTAGTTTATTTTTGCGGTAAAAAAGACCGTGTAAATTTTCTTTTGTGACACCCTGTAGATCAAGGCAGGGACCCTTTCATCTTATTGCCTCCCCTTTTCACCGTAGTCCATGCTGAAACCCAAGCGACTGTATTGTACTCCAGTGCTCTCTTTAGCCTTGCAAAATACATGAACAAAAGTGGTGAAGACAGGCACCCCTGTCTCAGTCCCCTTGTGGCCCTTATGGGTTCGGTGAATTCCTCGCTTCACTGTACCTCAACACTGTTGTCTTTGCATATCTCTTGAAGCAGGTCCCTCCATTCCACAGGCATTCCCAACTGCTCCAATACTCTCCACAGCAGCCCATGGTTCACAGAGCCATACGCCTTGGAAATGCCCAAGAAGCCGAGGTATAGAGGCCTCTGCTCATGGTTGGCTATCTCCATGGCTTGTGTGAACACAAGCAAGTTGTCCTCCAGACTTATTCTCTTGCGGAATTTAATTTGGGGCTACCCCGTTATCCTCTCGTTCTCTGCCCAGCTCTGTAGGCGTTCCTTTAGTACATGCATGAAAATTCAGTAGAGCACCGAGGTCACTGTTATCGGACGGTGGTTTTTCAGGATGAGCTTTCCTCCCTTCCCTTTGTACAGCGTCCTGACCCGGTATCTCCTCCAGTCCTCCGGTATCTCCCTCGTTTCCATCACACAGGAGAGCCCCTCTCGGAGTTGTTCCCTGGACTTTCTTCCCTTTTTCTTCAGGAGGCTTTCTGGAATGTCATCTAAACCCGTTGCCATGTGGATATTCATGCGTCGCATGGCCCTGTTCAACTCGCCCTGGGATATAGCTCGGAGCTGTTGGGTACCTCCTGTGCTGTCCCTTAGGGGGTCACTCAGTCTTACTGCACCTGGTTCCTCGAAGCCCTCCGCCATCGCTACAGCAATGTGCCTGATACATTGCTCTCTAGTCAGGACTACTCCGTTCGTGGCATCCCGTATTGTTGTTGGGTTAAGCTCTGCCGATCTCTCCTCACCTCTGACATGTTGCCAGAACTTTCTTGGGGCATCTCTGCCACTGCTTCGCGATTCCTCAAGCAGTTGTCGGTTCACCTTCTTCATTTTTCTCTGCGCCACAGTCGAGAACTCAGTCTTTTTTCCTGGTATTCCTCCCATGCTTTGAAAATATATCCTTTCTGCTCCCTCATGTTAACTGCTTCACCATGTCTCTTGCATGCCGCTCTTCTCTGGTCTCTTGCCTCTCCAACCTCTGTATTCCACCATCTCTTTCTTCTTCGTCTCTAGTTCCGGTGTCCACTACTTATTCCCTTGACCTTTGTAATCCGCTTGCACACCCAATTCACAACGTCTGTGTACGTCAGATGGGTTCATCCTCCGCCTCCTTTTTCATCTCCTTCACCACACTCTCCATTTAATACTGGTCAGCCCCTTAGGTGTCCTTAGCATCGACGACTGTCTTATGTTTGCCCCAAACTCCAGTGTCAGTCGGCGATGACCACTTCCAAGACTCGCTACGACAGTCACATTTATTGTCATGTCTGTTAGGCTTTCATATAGTGCTGGGGACATGAGACAGTAGTCTATGCATGATGAACGTTCCCCAACTTCCCATATGATCTTCCTTTTACAGTTGACTACTCCGTTCACCATCACTAGTCCCATTTTTTTCATCCAACGTTGGAGTTCCCGGCCGGTTTTGTCTGTCCTCTCATCCAGTTCTTCTATATGCGCGTTAATTCGACAAGTAGAATGGTGGGTGGGTTCAGTTCTTCCGCGTCCTTCTGCAGGCAGGTCACGTGTGCCTTGTTTGTTTCCTCGGATTTGTTTCCAGTTCAGAGATACACTATTCCGACTGCCACCTTCTTCCCTATCCTTCCTGTCACCTTGAGGTGCTCCACGCAGCTTTCCCTTTGTGTTTCCCATTCGCCTGTAGTCGCCCCCAGAAAGCTACACCTTTCCCTTTTCGGTATTCATCTCTTCTGTTTTGGCCCTGCCAATAAGTGAATTTCTCGTGTGCCGGTGGTACCTCCTCATTCCTCAGGTGGGTTTCCACCAGTCTCACAGCCACAGGACTCTCCTCTTCCGTTGAAGCGTGTAGCTCCTCCCATTTCGCTGCCTTTCTCCATCGTTGCATGTTCAGGAAAGCCAGAGTTTGTCGCCTTCTCTTGTGCCTCCTGTGTGTTCTCTCTCCTGTCTTTTTTGACTGTATACCCTCACCGCTGCTGTCACCTTTGGTTGTTGGTGCTTAAAATTATGATCGCCAGTTATCTCAGGCTTTATCTGAAATCAGGAAACGTTTTTCCGTCCTCTAGACATGTTAAAACAGTTCGCGACAGAGCGAACCAATATCAACTGAGCTTTCCAAGATCGTATCTAAAGCTAAGGAAGTCGCTTTTTCTTTTTTTTTTTTAATTGTGACGAACGGCAATCGCGTTTGCTCTGAAGCTTCAAGATGGCGGTGCCCACTAGCAGATCGGGGAACGGAGTGCCGATAGTCTGAGCTTCATTTAGTGGCTCTAGTTAAAGCCTTACGGGCGGTGGCAACAAGGAAAAAAAACAGTACCGCCCCTCCGCATGAGTTCCCCAAGTCAAACTGAGTCGATCTAATAACGTTGGTCTGGGTATAGATTGCACGTCAGGCAAAACAGAGCGTGGATATATACTTACTGGCAACCGCGTAGAATGAGATCTCGTACGTCGCATTCTTCTGGTAAACGCAGGGGTCTCTGTCACATGGAGTAATTGTAAGATTGATAAGCTGCCTGTACTTCCAGAGTTCATTCCCTGCGAAGCATGTAAATGAATGTTTTTGTTTTTATTTCCTTGGTTCAGGTTGCGAGGCGGCATACCACGAAGATGCGAGTTCTTCATTCAGTTACTGCAAACGATCATTCAAACGTTGCAGTTTCGTCACCAATATACAGTAAGAATTGTTATTTCACACACGAAACGCTGTAACTAGAGAGTGAAAAAGAGTTTTTAGGTCTTGGCTAACATTTTAATAACTACGAGAACGCGACGGGAGCGGTCGACCGGTCGTGCCCACTTGCGTCACCTCGGCAAGAGAGGTCCCGTGTACTGACCTTCGCACACCGTACCTTCGCCGAGAAATGTTCGCGCGTCGCAAGCAGCAAGTCGCCGGTGATCGTTGCCCACCTTACTGGGTGTGTTCTGTTGTGTTGAAAATCGCAATCGCGAGAATGCCGCGCCGACGGTCGCGATCACGACGCCGCCAAAGCAACCGCGCTCCTGGGAGCCGCCATTTTTTAACTGCGCTCGTCTTGGCTTTATCCAATGTCTCAATACGAATACTGCTTGCAAGTAGGGGTGTCGCGAACTTTTGTCGAACCAGATTTTTTGGTCGAACTTTCAGGGTTCGACTGGGTCGAACCGGTTCGACGAACCTTCGAACTTTTCCCCAGATTCGACCGGTTCGACTTTGTGGACAGTGTGGCCAGACCTTGATACAAGCATGTCTAGGTTTGGAGAATTTCTTTTTTTATGCAAAGGGTTATTTTATTGTGTGAACAACTGCAATTAAAAGAAACTAATTCTATTCACTGAAGAAGTTAATGACTTAAATTTTAGTACTGTATTGACTGAAATAGCCGATCAGCGCTGCACTTAATTCATCTCTTAGCCATTACCATCCAATCCGAAGCCAACTGGCCAGCCTGTCGCGCATGCGCACACGAGTCGAACCTCAATACAAGGTTCGACGAACTTTCTACTAAAAGTTCGAAAAAGTCGAACCTGGTCGAACTCGAACCGCGGCCGGTTCGCGACACCCCTACTTGCAAGGGCGCAAAAGGCTTTCTGCGCACGCACGATATTTTCGAAAAAAAAATAGCGTACGCTAAAATGGCGTATGTAAAGCTCAAACCGCAGTTGGCGTTCGACGCATGCCCAGCGGCGACGACGCTATTCTTTGCGTACGCATAAATTTTCCGTACGCTATTCTAAAACTCCCTTCGTATATATATATACACGAAGGGAGCGATATATATATATATATCGCGCCACACATGAATAGTATACGTAACGTTTGCTTTTGTCCCGATGTGACTACAGGTTTTCCCGCTCATTTTAATCCACGCGACGACCAATTTAATCCCGGGGTCACTCAATTTAATCCAAGCGCCATACAATTTAATCCAAGCGCCACACAATTTAATCCCGGGGTCAGTCAATTTAATCCACAATATATATATGGACTTATTGTGTTCAGTGGTCGTGTTTTGCTTACACATTCGGTAACTTAGAATAATTGTTTATACAATTTGAATTTTTGGGGGGCAATTGAGAATTTGATCACTAATGTGATTACTTTGAGTTACTAGTCCCACTATTGACGAGGCTTAATTGATATGTTGGTTACTCTTTTTACAGCACAGCTCTTAGGCACCCGTTTCCGGCTTAAGCGGCGTCGGCGTCGCCGACGCCGTCGGCGTAACCACGCGGTGCATGATGGGCAAATTCCCCCGCTAAATTTAGCGGAAAATTTCCCCGCTAAATCTAGCGGAAAATTTTCCCTGCTAAATCTAGCGGAACATTTTCTTCGCTAAATTTAGCGGAAAAGTTTCCCCGCTAAATCTAGCAGAAAATTCTTCCCGCTATATTTAGCGGAAAAATTTCCCCGCTAAATCTAGCGGAAAATTTTCCCAGCTAGATTTATTGGAAAATTTGCCCCGCAAAGTCGAGCGGAAAAGCTTCCCCGCTAAATCTAGCGGAAAATTTTTCCCGCTAAATCTAGCGGAAAATTTTTACTGCTAAATCTAGTGGAACATTTTCCCCGCTAAATTTAGCGGAAAATTTTCCCCGCTCTATCTAGCGGAAAATATTCCCCGCTATATTTAGTGGAATATTTCCCCCGCTAAATCTAGCGGAAAATTTTCCCAGCTAGATGTATCGGAAAATTTGCGCCGCAAAATCTAGCGGAAAAGCTTCCCCGCTAAATCTAGCGGAAAATTTTTAAGCTAAATCTAGCGGAATGTTTTTCCTGCTAAATCTAGCAGAACATTGTCCCGCTAAATTTAGCGGACGATTTTCTCCGCTAAGTCTAGCGGAAAAATTTTGCTCGCTATATTTAGCGGAAAATTTCCCCCCGCTAAATCTAGCGGAAAATTTTCCCAGCCAGATTTATTGGAAAATTTTCCCCGCAAAGTCGAGCGGAAAAGCTTCCCGCTAAATCTAGCGGAAAATTTTTACTGCTAAATCTAGCGGAACATTTTCCCCGCTAAACCTAGCGGAAAATTTTCCCAGCTAGATTTATCAGAAAATTTGCGCCGCAAAGTCTAGCGGAAAAGCTTCCCCGCTATATCTAGCGGAAAATTTTTAAGCTAAATCTAGCGGAATGTTTTTCCTGCTAAATCTAGCAGAACATTGTCCCGCTAAATTTAGCGGTCAATTTTCTCCGCTAAATCTAGCGGAAAATTTTTCCCGCTATATTTAGCGGAAAATTTCCTCCGCTAAATCTAGCGGAAAATAGGGAGTTTTCGTAGACCGCGTTTCCCCCTCCGCTAAGCCCTCCGCAACGAAGCAGCCGCTACTGCGCCGGCGCGCCGATGGCCTTGACTGTGGAGTTCCGGCTAGCGTAACTGCTTGCGGAGAGCGTTGCGGGACAGCGGAAACGATCTACGAAAACTCCCAAATCTTCCCAGCTAGATTTAGCGGAAAACTTGCCCCGCCTAGAGGAAATTTTTCCCCGCTATATCTAGCGTAAAATTTTCTCCGCTAAATTTAGCGGAAAAATGTCCCCGCTAAATTTATCGGAAAATTTTTCCTGCTAAACTTAGAGGGAAATTTTCCTCGCTGTTTAGCGGAAAAATTTCCCCGCTAAAATTTGCGGAAAATTTTCCCCACTAAATCTAGCGGAAAAGTTTCCCCGCTAACTTTAGCAGAAAATGTTCCCCGCTAAATCTAGCGGAAAAATTTTCCCCGCTGAATTAAGCGAACAATTTTCCCCGCTAAATCTAGTGGGGACATTTTCCGCTAGATTTAGCGGAGAAAACTTTACGCTAGATTTAGCGGAGAAAACTTTACGCTAGATTTAGCGGGAAAAAATTTTCCGCTAAATTTAGTGGGAAAAATTTTACACTAGATTTGGCGGGGAAAATTTTCCGCTAGATTTAGCGGGAAAATTTTTCCATTAGATTAAGCGGGGAAACTTTTCCGCTAGACTTGGCGGGGCAAATTTTCCGCTAAATCTAAAATTTTCCGCTAGATTTAGCGGGGAAAACTGTACGCTAGATTTAGCGGGAAAATTTTTCCGCTAAATTTGGTGGGAAAAATTTTACACTAGATTTAGCAGGGAAAACTTTCCGCAAGACTTAGCGGGGAAAATTTTCCGCTAAATCTAGCTGGTAAATTGTTCCGCTAGATTTAGCGGGAAAACTTTTCCACTAGATTAGGGAGTTTTCGTAGATCGTCTTCGCCGTCCCGCAAGGCCCTCCGCAACCCGCTACGATAGCGGGAACTCCACAGTCAAGGCTATCGGCGCGCAGGCGCAGTAGCAACTTATTCGTTGCGGAACGCTTAGCGGAGGGGGCAGCGCGGTCTACGAAAACTCCCTATTAAGTGGGGAGACTTTTCCGCTAGACTTGGAGGGGCAAAATTTCCGCTAAATCTTGCTGGGAAATTTTTCCGCTAGATTTAGCGGGTAAAATTTTCCGCCAGATTTAGCGGGAAAAATATTCCATTAGATTTAGCGGGGAAGCTTTTCCGCTGGACTTTGCGGGGCAAATTTTTCGCTAAATCTAACTGGGAAAATTTCCCGCTAGATTTAGCGGGGAAAACTTTCCGCTAGATTTAGCGGGAAAATTTTCCCGCTAATTGTAGTGGAAACATTTTACACTAGATTTAGCGGGGCAAATTTTCCGCTAGGCTTAGCGGGGAAAATTGTCCGCTAAATCTAGCTGGGAAATTTTTCCGCTAGATTTAGCGGGGAACCTTTTCCGCTAGATTTAGCGGGAAAATTTTTCTACTAGATTTAGCGAGAAAACTTTTCCGCTAGACTTTGCTGGGCAAATTTTTCACTAAATCCAGCTGGGAAAATTTTCCGCAAGATTTAGCGGGGAAATCTTTCCGCTAGATTTAGCGGGTAAAAATTTTCCGCGAAATTTAGTGGGAAAAATTTTACACTAGATTTAGCTGGGAAAATTTTTCGCAAGACTTAGCGGGGAAACTTTTCCGCTAAATCTAGCTGGTAAATTGTTCCGCTAGATTTAGCGGGGAAAATTTTCCACGAGATTTAGCGGAAAAAATTTTCCACTAGATTTAGCGGGGAAACTTTTCCGCTAGCCTTTGCGGGGCAAATTTTTCGCTAAATCTTGCTGGGAAAATTTTCCGCTAGATTTAGCGGGAAAAACATTCGGCTAGGTTTAGCGGGAAAAAAAGTTTCCGCTCAATTTAGCGGGAAAAATTTTAGACTAGATTTAGCGGGGACACTTTTCTGCTAGACTTAGCGGGGAAAATATTCCACTAGAATCTGCGGGGCAAATTTTTCGTAAAATCTAGATGGGAAAATTTTTCGATGGATTTAACAGGAAAACTTTTCCGCTAGATTTAGCGGGGAAATTTTTCCGCTAAATTTAGCGGGGGAATTTACCCATCATTCACCGCGTGGTTACGCCGACGGCGGCGGCGACGCCGACGCCGCTTAAGTTCGAAACGGGTGCCTAGGAGCTGCGCTCTAAAAAGAGTAACCAACATATCAGTTAAGCCTCGTCAATAGTGAGACTAGTAACTCAAAGTAATCACATTAGTGATCAAATTCTCAATTGCCCCCCAAAAATTCAAATTGTATAAACAATTATTCTAAGTTACCAAATGTGTAAGCAAAACACGACCACTGAACACAATAAGTCCATATATATATTGTGGATTAAATTGACTGACCCCGGGATTAAATTGTGTGGCGCTTGGATTAAATTGTATGGCGCTTGGATTAAATTGAGTGACCCCGGGATTAAATTGGTCGTCGCTTGGATTAAAATGAGCGGGAAAACCTGTAGTTTTCCGGACTTTAGCGAATTATAGGGGGCGCGCTGGCCAGGCAAAATGGCGAACTAAAGAGGTCGTTGTCGTCGTTCAGCAAGCGGACCACCATAAATTTCTTGCACTGCAACGTAAAATCGGTATTACATGTGAAAGCAAAGCAATTTTTCGACGGTAGAAACCTTCTCCTAGACAGTGCGTAGGAATGTCATGGCGGGAGCATAAAAATAATTACTGGAAACGATGTTTGTTTCTATGCTGCCTCCGAGAACCGAGCAGAGATAGCAGACGACAGAGCCGAATTTAAACGACCTCCTCTCCTGAGCTCCTCGCCGTTGTCGCAACGTGGTGTCGGTTTCGCTGGAGTCGGCAATAGTTGGCATATTGTATTGTCACCCAAACCGAAAATGTCGAGTCATGGGGGCATCTACGGCGTCTGATATTTCGTCGTGGAAAGCTACTGGGCATGCTAAGAACGCGTTCGAGACGGCGACCGTTGGAATAAACTAGGTGAGTAAAAAACGCGGAAATATTTAAACGAGTTCTTACGACAGTCCTGATAGATGGTTTGGTTGACGGCTATTGCAACACGACAAATATCTGAAAAAGTAACAACAATACAAAACACTTCCCATCAAATCACTATTCTACATGAAAAAAAGAAAAAGATGCAACGAATAATTACACGAAGAATAGACCCTTTTCAAAGGTCCATTAAGCAACATTGGCGGCCGCCATTTTTGAGGCACAGAGCGTGGGATCGGATCTGAGTCCCGGAGGTGCCCAAACAATGGCGAACTCGCATAATTGGTGCAGCAGCTACCAGATGGTGCAAGCAATAATGACAATGGTCCATTGGTTACGTACAAAGTTTATATCACACGCTTCTAGCAGCAACGACGCCAATCAAAACAAATTGACGCCGCACTCGGAGAAAGCCAACAAGGAATGCCCTTTCAAATGCGTCGAGTTGATCAACCATGCTTCTTTGTCTGGTCCTCGTCTTTCCGCGCTGTTTTTAATTCAAAAGAGAGCTTTTATATTTTTTAGTGTGATATATAGGCAAGTAGGTAAGACGACATTATAGCTACTATTTGTTATTCGTCGCTGCAGTCTTTGTCAAAATCCCCAAACATGCCTCAGCGAACAACTGCAACCTAAAATGCGGTCTTTATTTCGAGTCGACTATGTTTAGTACCTACAGCAACGCACAAGCAACGTAAGTTATTGTAACTGTTTCTTTATTTCGTTACGTTTAGAAGGCGGCAACGAATCTTAACAACACGTTTTTGCTAGTTATTTTCTACAACGGGCACAAGACCGCTTCCGAAGAGCAGACCAAAGAAGAGTGAATAAAAAAAAACTAACTCACCGTTACAAATTTCCTGCTGGATTTGGAACTGTGCCCCACAGATGGCCAAGATAGAAACTGCCCAAACTAAGGCGCCGTTCATCCTGAAAATTGGAAGTGACCTAAGCGTTCCAGCAGTTCTTTACTAATACGTAGCTGGAGAATTACCTTTACCGCAGTGCCTGGAACGCGTCAAAGGCTGTTGTGTTTAGCATCCCTTACCGCTCAGTAATAAGAGTACTCAAGAAAACGTCAACAACATACGTCACAGCTGGGAGGAAACGCTGCCGACTGCCGCGATCCTGGCGGCTGGTCGCAGAAACGCCGGCATAGCAGACGAACGGGCATAGCAGACAACAGCGTTTTCTTCGTCCGCCCGCTGCATTGCTGTGCGGCAGCCCAGCCGGCGCCTGCCGCATGTTCACGTCCACCACCGTATCACTAGCAGGAGCATAACGGTCGGTAGCGTTCCCCAATGGATTGTGACGTCACCTGCCGGAATCCGGAGAACAAAGTATAGCCCTACTAAACAGAGGAGTCGAAAAGCTGCCCTAAGCCGAGCTGTGGTTGGTTGTTTGTTTTGTTCATTGAATGGTGGCTATGAAGCAATCGTTCTTCTTTATGACATTTACTCGTGATTGCTCTTGAGTTTTTATTTTCGGATAAAGACATTTTTGAAAGAGCAGACAAGGCGAGAAAAGCGGTAGCAGCTGTACTTTTCATGTCTGTTGCGGTCATACTTCGCAGGCTATAATCTGTAAGAAACGACCTTTACTTCGTTGTAGGCGATTTGGCAATTGGCCATAAGCAGCGGGGAATCCGGCATGAAAATAATCGTCCGGTGGTTTGGTTCGGCTAAGATATTTCGTTTATTATTCGAGGTGCCAAAGCTCGTCGCCGAGCTGCCTTGTTCGCCTTTGCCCGTAGAGCATCAAAACCCGCCCCCGATCGACCGAAATTACAGCTTTTGCCCCCATTAAGGCAGTCGCGTGAACTACTGAAAGCCTTCGACACCGTGCAATGACGGACAGGAAGGTTGAGAGAGACGTCGTGAGCCTAGTTGCGTAGCGAGCACACAACCGCGAAGCCGGTATGGGTACCTGAAATAGCTCGCCCTGTAACGTTTCTACTAACACTTTACAATTTCGAAGCAAGAGCATATAAAGGAAAAAAAATATATCTCTCAACCTGCACCGCCACGTGGCATAACAGGCCAATCAAAAATAAATAGGGTCCAATGACCAGAAAGTGAATTTTTTTATTAAAGCCGATTATAAAGAAAAACTGTGGGCATCAAAACCACGGGATCAGGAACGGACCTAAAAACTCATTCGGGAATGTATTATAAATTATTTAAATTGTCGCTTTAAATATTGATTTTTTGTGCCCTTGTGTAATCTTGGAAGAGGACGACGAGGATGATCCATGTTTTTTCGTTGAAAATGTCCTGTTTAGGAGAAAATATTATGGAGTCAGAAATGACTAATCATTATATGCATATCATATTTTAACGTGTTTAATATTATGGCCGAGCACCGCGATACCCACCGAGATGCGTATGATTTGCAGGTGTATTTAAATATTTCTATTCTCTATTTATTGTAGTTTAATATGTTTAAGTTTTATTTATTTTCAGTAACTGGGGATGATGTATTGCTATATTATTAGCAAAACAACAACAACAAGAAAACTCATATTTTAATTCAGATTCAAAATCTGTGAGCCTTGGCAATCTCAGCTAGTGTATAGGGGCTATTCACTGAACGCCATACTTGAGTGCGCTTTTCACTGGGCATGCTCAGGACGAGTTCACACTGAATGGTTCCCAAGACAGGTAGTCTTCATGGTGTGGAATGAACCCTTCAAAAGCCGCCACGAAGCTCGCTGTGAGCATGTGCTCAGAACCTGCGCACACAGCTCGCCAGTGAATTCCTCCTATTGGCGACGTGAGCGAATGAAAGCGGCGCTGTGGTCGGCCCACTAAATATTGGCGGAATGCTGACAATGACGTCAGCAAAGGATGTCTCATCGACGGAAATAAGAGGAATGTAAGAACTTCAATTTCGACGGTGTTGGCAGTGATTGCTTTGAGAGCGAAATGATTTCAAGCTTCCACCATGCTCATTACAAACACCATCGAACTTGTTGTTCACGAGGTAATGACGTCACGAAAGGTAACCAAGCGAGGGCGCCAACGAAACATGCCGCCGCCGTTGCGTTTGACTGCGTTCCGGCAGCGAGAAACCAGGACATCCCCGCTGCTTATATCGCGTGCCAAGATGATTCCTTCAATCGGATTCCACGCTTCATACGAAGCACAGATGTGCCGGTGACTTGCTTTCGGCTCTCGACGCAACGCAGTCAAACGCAGTCAAACGCAAGTGTCTGAACCGTGATCTGACTTTTGATTAATATTTCAAGATTTAACAAATGGGAATATGTAAGGTCTAGAAGACATTTATATTGCCGTTAAACAAGATAGGTTAGAACAATGTTATCACGGATAAATTCATTCCTCTCCGTTCGATAAGATCACACACTCATTCACCCTGGTTTAATGTTACACTAAAAAGGCTTTTTAACAAACAAAAAAGGATTGTTTTGCTCTGCAAATGCCACCGGCTGCTCGAAACGTTGGGAGGCTTATCAGAACGCATGAGGCTTACAAATCTGCTATTCACGATGCTAAGCTTGTGTATTTTAATCAGACTTTGCCAAATATGTTGTCTACTAATCCTAATCAGTTTTGGAACATTATTGGTGATAACAATTCGAACGAAATCTCAATCAGGGTGGATGATTCTGTTATACTTAGTGAAGATTGTGCTGAAATTTTAAACGCGGCTTTTGTTAAATCTTTTTTCAGTGTAAGTAACATGTCACCTTGTTCATTACCTCAGTGCAACTTCATGCCTATGGAACATTTCGAATTTGATCCCATTGGCATTGTTCGAATAATCGATAACCTTAAATTATCATCCAGTGCTGGTGAAGATAATATTAGGCTCCAAACTTAAAAAAAAAAAAACACAAGTGTATATTATTCCATCATACTGTCAAAAATATTCACCCAATCGCTAGATCTCAGTGTCCTCCCCGATGATTGGAAAGTTGGGAAGGTAGTTCCGTTGCACAAAGGAGGTGATAAACATTCCCCTAACAACTATAGACCAATTTCACTCGCTAGCATACAACGTAAAATACTTGAACATGTCATTTATTCTCAGCTTGTTCATTTTTTGGAGTCTAACCTGTTTTTCAACGCGGCTCAACATGGATTTCGAAAATCATTTTCGTGCAAGACCCAGCTTTTATTACTTATTAACGACTTGCACTCTGTTCTTGATAGGGGGTCCCAATAGACTGCGTATTTTTGGATTTCTCGAAGGCGTTCGATAAAGTCTCACACGAGTTGCTTTTGTTGAAACTAAATAACCTTCGCATTGATGCTAACATTTTGGCTTGGATCCAGTGCTTTCTTACTAACCGATTCCAGTTCGTTACCGCCAATAACCACGCATCTCCGCTCGCGTCAGCGACATCCGGCGTGCCTCAGGGTTCTGTATTAGGCCCACTTCTGTTCTTAATCTTCATTAATGACCTGATGAATAACATTTCTTCCTCAAATAACCTTTTGCAGATGATTGTGTCATTCACCGTGAAATTAATGATGATTCAAATGTTATTAAGCTCCAGAGAGACATTAACGTTATTCTTCATTGGTGTGAAACTTGGCATATGGAGCTTAACACAACTAAGTGCAAAGTAATGAGAGTGTCTCTTTTTTCTCCCTGCTTCTGTTTTAACAATGTTGCTTTACTTTCTGTGTCGTCTTACAAGTACCTGGGCGCACACATAACATATGATCTTTCCTGGAAAATACATATTGGACACGTTATTAGTAATGCTAATCGCATGCTTAGCTATTCAAAACGTAATTTTTCTTTAGCTCCCTCCTCTTTGAAATTAACTCTTTATAAAACACTTGTACGCTCAAAGCTTGAATACGCGTCGTCTATCTGGGACCCGAGCCTAGAAGCCGTTCAAAATCGTTCCGCTCGTTTTATCCTCAGTAATTATCAACGCACTGCAAGTGTCACCTCTATGAAATCTAACTTATCTTTGCCTAGTCTTCCCTCACGCCTAAAGGTAGCCCGTTTGTGTCTCTTCCATAAAGTATTTCACACTAACTCATTCCTCAGTCAACGTCTCCTCACACCACCTTTCTATGTTTCATCCCGCCTTGATCATCCTCATAAAGTAGGTGTACCACTATGTAGCACGAACACATTTCAACAATCTTTCATTCCCAAAACTTCTTTGTATTGGAACCGCCTTCCCACCTCCATCGTCATAATCCAGGCGGATGATTTGTTTAAAACTGCTGTTTCTAATTTCTATTGTTCATAACTAATATGTGCTTTTCCTTTAAGTTATTCATTGTATAATTTTTCTTGTTGAATACTACCCACTCCCCTCTGTAATGCCGTTGGCCCTGAGGGTATTGAAATAAATAAATAAATAAATAAATTGCTAGTTTATTGGTGTTTTATAACGAGAGTTTAAAAGCTTCAAGAGGTGCTATCGTGATTGGTGTTTTCCTTTTTCATTGTTATGAATTGCAATAGGTGAGTTCGCAATGCCGATGCAACAAAATTGAGCTCAACAATACAAAGCTCAACAATGCTAAAAATAATTTTGTATGTATTCATTTGAATTATATTACATAGCAGAATACGTTCTTTTCTTCTAAGAAACTAAATGTTTCTTTTCTTTCCCGTCCCTTTCCACCCACTTGTTTATTGTGTTCCCCTTTATTGTTTACTTTACCTCTTTATTCATCTTCAACTGTTACTTTTTGTATATTACTTCATTTATTTTTTACTGTGTTTCTCTAAATTATGGTATTATGTGTTTTGAATGAGATAAGTAATATTTATATCATTTATTGACTATTTCCTTTATTGTGAGTTGTTGATCGGCTACCGGGCTCCCAATTTTTTATCTTGGTACTTTCCCAATTAAATTGAGCTTCCTATCAAAAATTAAAAAAAAAGGTTTTCTTAACTTTTGTTTTTGCCTTGTCTAATGTCTAATCAGAAGCCCAGAGATACAGAACTAGTCTGCTCCCTCGTAAATGTTGTTTTGGGTGTTCTGTTGCATGGCTTTGTGGAGAATACTTGGAAGCCTAAAGCCCTGGAACTGG